TCATCTGAATTAAAAGAGAGAGACTGCAGCAGATGAGAGAGAAGCAATATGCTTATTTTCTAGGCTAGTGATGCTGTTATTCTACCTGTGTATCAAGCCCATACACAAATAATTGGAAATCTGCTGTCTTAATGGCTGTTGGGGTTTTTTATTGTACCTCTGCCACTGTGTAGGTGAATGTGAAAAGGTTTTTGCACATGTATATATGTATTTTGGTAGACACTGCACAGCTAAAGCCTCTTTTAATTTTCTCTCTAATTTATTTTTAAATTTGTAACCCCCCAGGGGTAAATCCCTATTACATGATGTAAAACCTTCTCTTCTACAAAGCAGCTTATTTGTTGATTTTTAATTTGAGCCAGCAAATGCAAAGCTGTAGCTTTTTTTCCAACACTGAGAACTCCACTGTATATAACTGTCAAGTGGGTCTCACTGCAAAATCAGTAAAAAATGTAAAACTTAAACCTATCATTCTAGAAAGAGCAAAGAGAGGGTTTGTGTGAACCATGTGTTAGACTTCTGATTCTTGAAACATTCTTTACAGGCAATTTGCTTTTAAATCTATATTACAGTTGGATTAGACTGAATATGAAGACTCACATTTTTAAAAGCTCAAGTGCTGACAGAAGTTAGGAGTTTGTTTTTTGAAAGGGGATCTCCATCAAAAGATGACAGTGTCTGAAGATGGCATTAATCTGTGCACTTACATAAATTCATGTTCACTGATATTAGTATGTTCTTTGCCTTGCTGGAAATGTTGCCCATAAACTAACTGGCACACCTTATGGTTTAATGTTTGTTTATATGACTTGCTGGAAATCTTAGTCACAGACCTATTGTGATAATAACAAAAACACGTGATCTGACAGAATCTCTCTTCTCTTAACATTCAGTGGGAAAGATGTTCATTTTAAAACACAGTATCTCATTCTAAACAATTCAGGTTAAAAAAACAGCTTTAAAATGCCTTACCAGCTAGTTCAAATATAAGCATCTACATTTGGTTCTTCTGGCCTACAATGCTTACAACTCAAAAGTCATTAATTAGTTTGCTTTGAGTAGTCATCAAAGGAAATAAAAAAACCTCCAGATTGTCTCTTTTTTTTTTTTTGGTTTTAAGTAAGTGTGATGGTTTTGTTCCCCTCAATTTTTTAATGTAAAGGTAATGTTTATTTCTGTTCAGGATGTCAGCCCCTGCACGAAGCTCTCAATTCCCTCTGCTTCTCCTTTTAGTCTTCCCCAATTAAGCCAAGGATTCCCAATTATCTCCTTAACTACCATTTCACTTCTCTTTGTTGTCTGATTCACTAACAATACCTGCCATCTGTGATTGCTGTTCAGAGGTCCTGTCCTTCTGGCAGCTCCACACCTTCTCCAGTTTGTCTTACAATGTTGCCTTCTACAGGGTCACTTTTGCAAAAGTGGAACATTTGAATATGGTGACTTTATTTCACATGTCAAAACCAGAACTCCACCTGCCTCTTCCTTGCTTTGTCCATAGCACTGGACTCATAGTCACTGCAGATGATAATCTTCCTTGTGCCTATCTCCCTAGAAAGTTTCCCACTTTAAAAGTGATTCGTTCCCTTCTATGAATTGTGGTGACACTGCCAAACAAATAGAGAGCAGTTAACAAATAACAGTCCCCAGATTAACAATGTTAAATATCTATTGTTTTTTTGTAGCATCATAGAATTGTTAAGGTTGGAAAAGACCTTTAAAATCATTGACTCTAACCGTTGACCCAGCACCACCAAGTGCATCAATAAACCATGTCCCTTAGTGCTGCATCCGCACACCTTTTAAATCCCTCCACCACTTCCCTGGGCAGCCTGTTCCAATGCTTGACAACCCTTTCCATGAAGAACGTTTTCCAGATGGCCAATCTAAGCCTCTCCTGGCACAGCGTGAGGCCATTTCCTCTTGTCCTATCTCTTGTAATTTGGGAGAAGAGACCAACCCCCACCTCACTACAACTACAACCTTCTTTAAATGTGGTCTTGTCTGCAAACTGACTGAGGGTGCACTTGATCCCCCTGTCCAGATCATTGATAAACATATTAAACAGAACTGACCCCAGTACTGAGCCCTGGTGAACACCACTTGTGATCAGCTCAGATGTACCCTCATCGGTTCACCGGTTTTGCTAAACCTTATAGATCTGCACAACTGATATGTTAATAATGAACAATAATAATAATGTGGACAGAGGGACCCTGGTCAGAAACCAGACCTTTCTTACACTCTAAGAGGCAGGAGATGCAGCAAGGGAGTGGAAGCAAAGATGAAATATGTTCCACTGAAAAAGATGCATCTCCTGTACAAGACTTTTTTCCAGGAACTAATTTTCTAGTTTATTTCTGTCATGCTAAATGTCTATACATACTCTGCTTTCTACTGGGCAAAACAAAGATGCTTGCTGTGAAGCTAAACAATGTTCTTCAGAGCTGTACAGTACCTGCATAAATTCATTTTGGTGTCACTTTTTACTCTGCCCAGCCTTCTCAGCTGAAACTGATCTTTTGCAGTTTGGAATATCTTGGAGTTGTATATCAAAGATAAGTTACTAAATTTTTATCATTGGCAAAGAAAAGGACTGAGAAAGCTAAAGAAAGAACTGTGTATGTCAGTTAAAATCGTAGAAGATTTAATTTCTGTTCCTGGAAACACTAACTTTACTCATTAGCCTGAAGTCATAGCCATACATTCATTTTTAAAGCTAACCTATTTGGCCACATCTGAGCAGTACAGTGATCTGTGGTTGGAAATTGAAGAAAGCCCTGGCAAACCAAGGCACCAAGAGTCCTTAAGTTGTATCCATAGTCCATACTAGGATAACCTGTTGCCACTGCAGTTCTTGAGCCTACTGCTTCTTTCTGCTTTTGTAGGTACCATCAAGGTCCTGTTGTAACAAAAACAGATTCAGGTAGGATTTTTACTGTTCAAAGAAAGACTGCAGCTTGATGTCTTTGTTTTTCTAACTTTCTCTTTACAATTAAAATGACAAATCACTCTGAAATGTTAACAACACCTTTCCATTGCACTGATCTTTTCCACTTGATGTTTTAAAGGCACTGTCTGGGCAGCATAAAAATTTGAGATATACTTTAAATACCTGTAAAGGATATATCTGTGTGGTTTTCATAGGAATTAGAACATCTAATCTCAAATGCTTTTTTGAAAATACCTCCCTAAATAAATTTAAGAAATAAGATCCAAAGTATTCCTCTTTCTGCATGCTTAAATTATCTTAAAAGAACATAGACGTAGTCATAATTCACATCTGAAAGATAGAATTTTCTTTCTCGTGAGTTCTTCTGTTAGTTGGTGTAACAGGGAAGTGTGGTATGATTTATATTCAATGTCTCAAATATTAGCCTACTCACCACTTTGTTTCTGCTATTTTTCTGCTGCGTACTGACAGAAAGAGTAAAAGAGAAAGAAAAGAAGAGAAGGGAGGGATGCAAGGAAGGAAGAGAGGGAGAAAAGGGAAGGAAGACTTTTTAGTGTTTACAGTTTTGCACTTGATGTCATTATCACTGTAACAAATAATTAGGTTGTTGTCTAATAAAATCCCACTGGAAGTGTGTATATGTGAACATCTGTTAATGAAAAAACATGAAATTGTTCAGATGCTTTGTTCAGGTAAATGCCCATTCAAGTCACTTAATGGGGCTAAGATTTAACACCTAAGATTTCTGAATTAACTTCTGAAGTAATTGTCTGTTTTTCTGTGTTTGAATCTGTAAGACCTGAGATATGTGTGCTATAGAGAGCCTGCTGTTTCTGCTGTGGTATGGCAGCCCGTATATCACCAGGTCTATTTGAACAAGAGCGTGAAGACACTTGTGATGAAGGAAAATGAAGGAGACTTGGGAAGCCCGAGCAAGTTTTGGTGGGAACTGACGATAATGTTCCTTTTCTTCTGTGTTTTCCATCACATCACGGGCACATAGAAAGGATACAGCAACATGAACAAATCTCCAAATAGTAGGGTTTTCTTTAAAACTTTCAAAACAGTTCAAATACTGTTTGTTGTACGTTGACAGTACAAGTCAACCCTACTTAGATCCCATTTAAAGCTACAGACACTGAAAGACCTCTAGTCATACTGTGTTCAGTCACAGTCCATCCCCTTTCACAGTGGTATCTCATGATGTCTGGAGTTTACTGTAATGCAAATAAGTTACAGGTTTGCCCACCCTCACTAATGAGCTGTTTTCTTTTGAATGGAGAACAATAATAATCCCTAGCCTAGCATGAGGAATGCTTTGACCTTTTGAAAGTTGTGGGTTTGATCTGCAGGCTGTATTGTACTGTCAGTCTTTACGTGGTGAAGATTAAATACTGTTGATTGACAGGGTTCCCATAGAAGGCAGCAAACCTGCCTGGTTCAGAAATCGACCCTAGGAGCAGAGCAACCTGTCACAAAAAAAGCTATTTCAGTGCAGCCTTTCTCTAAACAAGCCTGATTCTTTGAACCTCTGGGATCGGAATAAGGCCCAAATGTGATACTCTTACTCTCCTGATCTGTTATTCCATCTCATTTACAAATACTGGCAATCTTCCTCTCTGGCAAACCCCTGTTGCATCATGTGTGCAACATACAACATTTACCAGCGTGTATGGAAAGTATAAATTTATGTAATAGACTGCTCTATTATTTAACATTTTATATGTACATATATATGTCTATATATAAAAAACTAAAAGTGAGAACACATATGCAGTCTGCTCAAGCTGCATTTGTTTTTCTTGCTGGTATTTATGTCTTAAGTGAAGTATCAGTCTGACATATTACTTTGCCAGGCTGGCTCTTCTAATATCTGCTATACAAATAGGGTGTGTTAGCTTTCACCTCCTTGCAGTATGTCTTTATAGGTGGTGCTTTTCAACTGCCTAGTGTAAATGTGAGAGATCTAGATAACTTCTCTCAACAGGTAGGTATTTTGGGCATGTAAACCTAACTCTTACATAGTTCTTCTTGTTCATTACCACAGGAGAAGAGAACTTGCTGGCAATTTTGAAAAGGAGATGGTGGAAGTACATGATCCTGGGGATAATAGATATAGAAGCCAATTACCTGGTAGTCAAAGCTTATCAATACACCACTCTTACCAGTGTACAGGTAAGGACTAAAAGGATTTTCCCTTTTGAGATAAGATAAAAGGTCCAATGGAGTCAGTGGTGTAGTATCCATTGGTTTGAGTGAACTAATGCTAATTGCTGTCTCTGTCTTTTGTGTGACACATTTTATTATATTGGACTGTTTTTATTACTCAATATTTTTCCAAATTGTACAAAAACATTCTGACTGTTATGTGCGGTGAACAAAAATGTTATGTGCAGTGAACAAAAACTAGGGTAGTGATTTCTCCAAAGATCCAACCTGGATATTTTATGTAGAGGTGCAAAAGGATCGGGCTTCTTCCAGTTTAGTGGAGAAGTGAATAATAAAAACATTTTTAAGAGACTTGAAGTTGTCTGTCTTGGGAAATCATTGCATACTTCATTGCTACTTGTTCTAAAACAAACCTACTGCTTCTTTACATTGTCTTTAAATATAGAGTAACACTAGGTAGTGTTCGGTGTATTTTACACCTTACTTGCCTGAAGTTTGCATTAGAGACAATGAAATAAAGGAGCAGAATCAGAGCTACTTAAGAATATATATCTTCCATAGTTGAAAAGTGATATGGGAAGATACTGAGCTGCTTTAGCTGAACAAGAAGCAAAAATAGAAGAAAACTATGAATTCAAGAAATTTGAATATGAGGTTTATGCTAAATATTCACAAGTGCTTCTGCCATCAGAATCTGAATTTGAGAATCCTTTGAAACATACCTAGACAATGTAATATTGCTTTTAACACATTTTCAGATCAGATTACATAGTATAAAGCTTAAATCCACATAAACCTCACGCTGTCTGATTTTATACCCACTAAAAGCCTCGAAGAGGAAAGCAAACTGAATTGCTTCTTTAACGTGATTCACTCACAGCATGTAGAAACAGTGGACTGAGCAAAGCCACCAACAAGCACATATCAGAGGTTCGTCTGGCCAGACTCATGAAACACCAGTTCCAGTAGATGCAGACCCTCACACTAGCAGTGCAATGAGCATGGCCTTTAGTGTAAGAGATCAAAAGCTACAGTGTGATGAGGAAGCAGACAGGAGAGTTCAAGGGCATTGCCTGTACCTTGACAGGGAATTTGTTAGCTGAAATCATCCATATTCTTTTAGACTGAGAGAGAGAAGAATGGTGGATCAGGAGAACTCTCAGAGAGCACAGACAGTATCATGTCCAGTTTTAGACCTCTTCCACATAAAGATTACAACAGCATTCAGGTCTCTTTCCCATGTAGCTTGAAAGAAGGAAGAGATAGAATCTCAAATGCTGTCAAGCTTTTTTCCAGACATGGAATAAATAAGTGTCACCTTTTCCCATAGTTGTCCTTGATTGCTCGGATACATGTGGAGTGACTGGGAATACCTGCTGCTTTTTAAATTCATTTCATGCCTTAATATGAGTGAGCTTCTAAGTGACAAGCTCCAAGATATGGTGAGAACAGGGCAAGTATGAGGTAATGCATTAAGATGTTGAATCAAATGACAAATTTTCTGAAATGCAGCCAAACACCCTATTTCGTTTAAAGATGAAACAGAAGCAGCTCAGGGGATTATTCAACGTTGGTCAAAGTGTGTCATGGTATGGAATGAAGACTGAAGAAATGAAAATCAGAAGATGAAAAAGGGAAGCTTTTTCTAGAATCTGATTTCTGAAGAAGGAACAAACAGGACCACTCTCTCAAGAGCATCTCCTGCAGGAGCACTACCTGTGAGGCCATAAATGCTTGCTGGCACATAGCGAGAAATGTTCAAATCCTTTCAGAACTGAGACCCACTAAACTATTGCTACCTACCACAAATCAGCATGACTTTGACTGAAGGCTGTGGAAACTATGCCTGTGTATACACTGGCTGAGAATCGAGCCCTTCATGTCAATTCTGAGGGACTTTATACTCAACGAGCTGTACATCAAGGCTTTTTTGATGGGGAAAATACAAGAGTTCTTGAAATTGTCACTTCAGCAAATGAGAAATCTTGAGGTATTCTTATAGTGGTGATATGGGGATACATGGACCATTTCAGTAGAAAATCAGTTTTAGAGCATTTTTTTTCCACATGACATCTCTGCAAAACCAACATGCAGTTGTACTGTGCTTGTGGTGCTTTTAGGCAAAAATCATTACACTGGTCCCAGCAAAATACTAATGTTTAACGGTAAAAATATACCTATATTGCAGTTGCCTTGAGTTCAGCTTCACCAAAAATCTCCAAGCATTTAACAGCCTTGTTTGCCAAGTAACTTTAAACTCTTGAGACAGTCAGTTTTTAGTTTATACTCCATCTTTTTTTTTATATTTGGTATTATCTCATCATGGTTCTAGGAACAGACTGAAAATGGCAGCCTACTTTTCCACACTGTTTCACACACAAGTTTTTCCTATATTTTACTTCAAGATTCTCTTTTGGCTTTGATCTGGAAAACAAGGATTTTCTAATAAACCTTCCTATGTGTCTTTCACTGCATGCCTTCAGAATCACAGTGAGCAAGGACACATAGGCATAAATCAGAGATGAATATGGTACCTAACCTTTACTTTTGGACATGCTTCTGATTATTTCAAAACCTCGTGTACTCTATAATTACTGTCTGAGAATGTGGCACTCAGCTTAATCATAAGATGAAAGCAAAGTACTGTGAAGCCTAGAAACACGTAATTTTCCTCTTTAAGAAAAGAACTCAACAAACAACTAAAATACCTCCCTTATAAATTAGGTGACATAAAAACTAGATTGAAAATCAATGCACTATTTATGTTTCAGTTATAAGTGTAGGTTAGTTGCTAAGGATAAAATCCAAGGTACCCTTTAGGTACCAACAGGGACAACTAGATTTAATGGAACAATCCAAGAAACCCACACCTAATTGTCTACATATCTAAAATGTCATGGATATCTAACATCCATTGGTTTATGTGTACAAACCTGCTGCTCAGAGTACGATCCTGGGACATGAAAACATGTGTTTGAACATATCAAGTTGCTTTTTCTTTGGTAGCTTTAGGTTCTGTTTCTCTGCATGCTCAGAGGGATTTTCTGTTGATGGAAATAAATGCCTAAATACCTGCCTCCATTTTAAAATTCAAAAGCTAAGTATTCCTGCACCGAAGTACCCCAATGAACTCAATTTTTTAGATATGATCTTAGCATGCCTCAAGTGCTTACAGAAAGCCTTACAGAGTACTTTCTAAATTGCAAGGGTGGACCTACATGTTGCATAAAGTCACACATTTTAAAGCAGTGGCCCACAGAAAGGGCTTGACTTAACTCCATCTCAGCTGAGGGGATTGAAACTCAGGCTTCCCACAGCCATGCAAATGCTCAGGCTAGTAACTGAAGACTGTTCCCTACAGGTACATTTAAAAAACTGAATATACCAGGTAAAAGGCTCAGTAGTTTGTTGATGGATCCATTTGATATACAAAACCATGTATTTAGAGAAGTACAAGTCACACTTCATGCTATCAGACATACGTGTCCTGATTCTCAGATGCAAAATAATCTTTAGTTTCTCTTTGATGTATTATTCTAACTTGCAGTAGATTTTGCAGCCTTTTTGCAAGTCAGCTGTAGCAGGTACAGAAAGTACACTAAACACTCACTTGTACACTAGCATCTGATCCCATGGACTTGTTTTAAAACCTATATACTTAACTTTCAGGACTGCTTCTCATATTTATCCTAATGGGTTTTAAAACAACCCTGGTGTCAGCCTGTGGAAGGTTTAATAATTATTCAAGAAAAATGTTTTAAATAGTGTTAGAGACACCTTTTATAGAGCAGATAAAATTAGTTCCCCCAGAGGGAATTAAAAGATTCTGAAGTTATTGCAGTTATTGCAGTCCATTTAGATCTAGATATTAAATTTCCCTGAAATTATGTTCTGACTTCAACTTCCCTGTTCTGCATTTACAGTGTACCACACACATACATCCTATAAGTCCATAATGTCTTCCACTAGGCCTGTTATGATACTAACATTTGTAAGCTTTGCTGCCAGTTAAGTGCTTTCTCTTCATACCAGGCTGAGTTTTGAAGCAGACTGCCCTCTTCCTTCTCCCCATTTTCCTCACATTAATTAGCTCTCCTTGTTGCAATACAGTGTTCTATCCATCTGTATATTACACTATTGCATTGCACTCTCTAGAGGTGATGTTGTTCTTTTTCTATGTTATGATATCACAAAGAATCACAAAGATTATTTCTTCAATACCTTGTATAGTAGTACTGTAGAATATGGATACAATGTCACAAGAAATAAGGCACTGTCAAAGAGAGAGCTATGCTTCCAAATAGTGATTTATCTGGTAATTTATTCCTTGGGCAATCAAGTATTTGATTGGCATGATGAAAACAAAGGTAGTAAAAGCTGGGATTTATAGAGACCAGGAGACAGACAGTAAGACAATGATGCTGATCTTCTCAACTACTCTTAGATCACTATGAGGCTCAGCAGTACATCATACTTCCAATTACCTCTGGCAGTTTTCATATCTCAACAACTGCCATCAGAAAAGGAAAGGAGTCAGCAGTAAGTGCTTGTTATAGGAGCTGGATGGCAATAGACTTTACTTTGTTCTTGGTCCCTGAGGACTCAAAGTACATTGAGGCAGATGATTTTAAATAATTTTGAAGCAAAACTGGGAGGCAAGGAGCAGGGGATGTGCAATATTGAAGTTGTTGATCCACCTTGTCCAGTGGCTGCTAATGTGAAATATCTCAAAAGCAGAGATTAATTCCATTCCTTCCCTTCCTTCTCTCCTCCTGTGAATGTAAAGATTGACCATACTTTCCTGATCTGCTTCAGGGCCATGAGGAAATACTGCAGTGTTACTAAATTTTGCAGATCAGCATTTTGCAGAAGTGTTGCATACTGTACATTTATACTGTGAGGGGCTGTGCTGTGCATCTTGTATCTGATTTACTATCACACTTTGAGTTACGGTTGTCTTTTAACCTGTGCTTTGCAAAGCAGCCCTTACAGTGTCCACATTCTCT